ATTACAAGACTAAGGAGGGTGTGGTGGGGAGGTAACAGAGGCAGCACTAAGCACGACACATGGAGAAAAGGCCACTTAGGTTAACAAAGCAGCTCACAACTGAGAGCAAATTAACACCGGCCCTGCGAGAACAGAACATTCACACCACAGGGGCAAAGCACCCATTGGAGCAGCCAGGCCTTAGCAGGGAGAAGGAAGTAGAAGAGCAGAGGGCGGGGAAACAGGCCAAGTGAGGGGGGTTTTCAGTGCTGAGGAGGCTGGCTCTGGCTAAGAGCACAAGGGAAGTGGTCAGCTACTTAAGGAGGGAAAGAAAATGGTGGCAGGCACCCCAGGTAGGCCTGGGGAGCAGATAAGAGCTCCTGACAGGCCTTGGTGAGGTGGCAGGGGCAGGGGGGAGGCCAGGGAGGGGTACAGAATCAATGCCCCGTTCAGGTAATAGTCGAAAGGAGTGTCCCTCCAACTTCAACACGTTTGGTTTCATCCTCTGGCAAGTGCATCCAGACCACAGGGCAGAGAGTCACCAGGGGAGCTGCTACTAACTGCAGAGCCAGTCACCGCCAACACCCCTGCTCCCTTTCTTTTTCTGCCTTCTGTGAAACAACCAGGAGCCACCTGCCTCGGAGGCAGGAAGTGGGGCATACCTCGGTCCAGAAAGCCCTTGACACATCTTCACAGAGAAATGGCCTGGAAGGGGTGTTAGACTAGAGTGGAATCCTAGAGTGGGGTGATAATACAAATATTAATTATATGGCCTATAGGGCTGACCAGGCAGAATGATCAGCCCCTACTGGGCCAGGCATTAACCCTTTAGTTGCTGGATCTGAAGGAGGTGGGGATAGTTGGAGGGCGTTCAGGGCTGTGAAAGGGAAAGTACAGGGCCATACGTCTAACTAGCGCCAGAGCTGGGATGAGCAGCAAGATGTCCCCGCTCCCAGCCTGGTGTGTTTTCTATGGCTTCCTTTGCTGTTATTCCAAGTCTTCATTATAGTTGAGGGAAAATGCCAGAATGTCCTCAGGGCCAGCCTTACACATAGGTAAACATGATGTGATCAAATATGTCTCCTCAGTTGCCTGTCACTGTGCCTGAAATTTCCCCATGAGTGATTCATTCCTTTGGATCTTGAAGCTTTCTGGTCTTTCAGGGGGATATAGATGGGGGATTTATGGACAGTCACCGAGGAAGGGCTTTGCAAATTGCACTCAGGTTGTATAGCTGGGGGGAGAGCAGCGGCAGCTGGCCCAGGGAGGAAGATGCAGGCTGAGACTCTGAATCCAGGGCCCAGGCCACTCTTGAGGGGCAAGGGCAAGGAAGGAGTACTTGATACACCCACACCCAAAGCTTCGTCACACCCTGGCTTGGGCACTCAGGAAGCGTTTCCCCAGGAGACTGTATTGTGACCCAGAGGGCCTGAATCACTGCTGTGTGGCCCGCGCTGGGGAGGGGGGTGGGAGAGTGAAGAAGGATAACATCAGGCCGTCTGGCGTGGCCGCAGGGGCACTTTATTAAGAGGAGCAGCCTGGGCGACATGGCTGTGACAACGGAGTCTATGCGGACATTGAGAGGCGCCTTGAGACTGCCAAGAGATGCTGGGTTGGGAGTCTGCACCTCCCCCCAGGGGCCTGCTGACTGGAGGTGCCCTGGCCCAAGTCCGGGCTCCTTTCTGTCTCTCCCTCTGACTTCCGTCCTGGTTTGGCCCCAGAGCTGTGTAGTGCAGCTCTGGACTCGCCCGGCCATGGTCCCCAGAGCCCTCCCTTTTCTGCATCGGTTCTCTAGTTTTATATGGAAGGGGCTTCATGTTGACAGTCTGGTGGGAAGGGGGAGAGGGAAGAAGGAAGGAGGCTAGCAGGCTTGTCTGGAAGCTGTTTGCCTGGTAAGACCCTGTATTTCCTTAGACTGTGTGTTTACTTGGGGTAGCTGCGGGTAGTGGAGAGTACTTCTTGGAAATTTGGGAATCTGCCTTGTAGCTGTGTGTTGCATAACAAGTGTAGTAGTATAATTTAGACTATAGGTCTATTTGAGGTTGCTTGCAGGGCTGAACTGAGCACACTGAAGACCCTCCCAGAGGCTCCCCTAGTTCTGTTGCAGATCTCAGTCATCTGGGCTGAACCCAGAACCCCTAGCTTCCCAAAGAACAGAGAGAGCATCCACCCTCAAGGCCACCACTGCTGTCTGACATGAGCCCTGTGCTTCCTGAAAGGGTGTCTCTGGGGGCCTCAGGTGGTTTCCGTCTAGACACATCCGGCGGGCTCGATTTGGGGGGAGGATGCTGCTGTTAACAGGAATTAGAGACCCAGAGGCAAAACTGCCCCCCTGGTTCCACTCAGGTTCCCCAAACAATCTCCCTGGCTTAAGACCAGGTCATCACTAACCCCGGTGTCATGGGCACTGCTGACGGAAGATGATGTTTCACAGAGCAGAGACTTCTGCCTGAGTGCAGAATCAGTGACTTGGGGAAGATGGAATTCAGTGCAATCCATTTGGGAAAGTCAGCCAGGATTTCTCTTAAGCTTTACTTCCCAGCAGCCCCCTCCCACCTTGGAGACAGACTAATCCCTGACATTTGTCTAGTGGCTTTATACTTTTCAAAGCTCCTTCACATCCATCGTCTCCATTGAGTCTCAAAACACCCCTGTGAAATAGGATGGGAAGGTCTTATTGTCCCTGTTTGACCAAAACAAGAAAACTGAGGTCCCGAAAGGATACATGACTCACCCAGGGTCACACAGCTATTTAGTCAAAGAACTAGGACTTAAAATGTGTTTCCTAACTGCCAGCCCTGTGTGCCTTCCGCCTCCCATGTAGACTCCCCCATAGAACTGTGGAGGTGCCCAGCACCTGCCACAGTACCTGACACACAGTAGACGCTAATAAACATTTGCCAAATGAGTGACTGAGTGGATAAGCAGGGGCAAGGCAGGGAGGAATACAAGTTCTAAAACTGCTCTCTTTTTTATGATCAGAATACAAGGGCAGGAATTCGGTGTTATTTCATCATGTTGACCAGGAAGGAAGGAGTAAGAGATCTTTCCCATTTCACAGATGTCACTGCCATGGCAGGGTAGCTCCCAGAGAGAAGCCACGGGGCTCAGTCTCCCAACAAGGCTGCCTTCCACTCATCCTTTAAAGAGGAGTGGGTGGTGTGATCCCCACCAGCGGTTCCCCAAGGTTCTGCGGTGGGTGTCTGAGGACACTGGTTACTTGATCCTTTAGGGCCTCTGCACCCGCCACCTTTGACCCTTCTAGCATAACCCACACCTCACAGGCTCACTGCCTGTCTCCTGGATCACACCTGGGCCGAGACTACCTCCTAGACCTTTTTCTGTCTTCCACAAGGCCTGGCACGTAGTAGGTGAATTGTCTGAGGTTAAAAAGGGATGACCGCTCCCTGGCACCAGGCACTGCAGTCAGGATCCTACCTCCCAGGGCCCCTACCCCACCTCCACCAGCAAACTGGCCTGGAGTTGCCACCTGTCCCTAGTCCTGGCAGGAAAGTGGGGGAACAGGAGGTGGAGACCCGGGTATTCAAATAATTGCTTTGCAGTAGCACAAAGTGGCTTTTGAGGCAGGCAGCGTTGAATTTGCGACCCTTCGGGTTTCCGATCTCTCCCCCCACCAACTCATTACCAGCTCCAGCATTTGGGTCTATTTCCTTTGCTCCCTTGAGCCTCGGTTTTATTTTCTGTACAATGGGGGGGGGGTGCTGAGGTGAGAAAATGGATGGAAAGCACAGTGCCCGGCGCTTAGTAAGTGTTCACCCAGTGGCAGCTGGATTATCCGCACGTCACTGTACTTGGAGCCCCCCCCCCCTCGCCGGCTCCCCTGCGGGGGCCTGTCCAGGGTGAAGG